TGTCAGCTTATCCCGGTTCATAAGTAGCACTTTCTAGTCCCCAAACTCCAGGAGACTATCTTACCAGTCACAAGGTGTCTTCTCTCTAACCTGCGCCCCATCAGGTGCCCCCACCTCACATCTCCAGTGTCTTCTATTTAAAACTTGAGAGAATTCTCAATGTGGACATGACTGGGAGATCAGAACACCATCCACTCATTGATTCTTTTGTTGTTATTCTTAAATTTTATTGGGAGGAGAGCTAAAAATAAAATACTCAATTGGTTTTTTTTTTAATTTACATGTGTATGCTTGAGTTTATATCCACCGTATGTGTGAAAAAACCCTCAGATGCCAGAAGAGAGGATAGGATCCCATGGAGCTGGAGTTGTAGGTGGTCGTGAACCACCAGGTGGATGCTGGGAACTGAATCTAGGCCCTCTGCAAGAGCTGTGAATGCTCTTAACTGCTAAGTCCTCTCTCTAGCGTGCCCCTCCCCCCTCTTAATAGAATCTCATGTAGCCCAAGCTGGGTTTGAACTCTCTGTGTAGGCAACACTAGCCTTGAACCCCTGAATTTCCTGCCATTCCCTCTCAAGTGCTGGGGTGATAAGCTCCTGCCACCATGCCCAGATTAATGCGTATTTACCAAGTAACTAGTGTACGTCAACCTGGAAGTGTGGGAGGGTATGAAGAAATTAAAGCATGCCTTCTGTCCTCAAGGACTCTATTCAGGAAACAAGCAGATAGGAAGTCGCTCCAGGGCTGAGGTTATTACTACCGAGCAGGGCTCCAAGCAGAGAAGGGGGAACTCTGGCTGCTGTTCAGGGGGCACTGTGAGGAAAATGGACGTTCAAAGTAGACTGGAGGCCAAACTACATTTCTGATGTTTCCAAATTAGTGACTTAAGAAATAAATTTTTGAATAATAATTTATAATTAAAGTCGGTCTGAAGCATTCCACAATGAAAGGAAAGCATCAGGTGAAGTTTGTGCTCTCGAGCTTTTGAAAGTATTTCTTGATAATGTCATTTAACTAATTTTATCAAAAGCATCTCTTTGGGAGCGTTAATTACAATACCAGATGCTAAAACATAATGTTAAATATTCTACTTTCTTGGAATGTTTCATTTGAGCTTTTTTATTCTGTTTCTTTCTTTCTTCCTTATTTTCATTCAGGATCTTGCTAGGTAGCCAATTCTGGCCTCAAACTTGGGGCCATTCTGCTTCCTGAACACTGGATTACAGATATAAGCCACCATCTGGCTCCGCAAATATCGCTTTTACTTGTTTTAGAGCTGGTGGAGGAATTGGAGCTACCGAGTGATGTGGAGGGTCCCGGGTGTTGAGAGTCACCCTGGGTCTCAGGGGTCTTCCCTTCTTCTCCGAGTGTCCATCCAGTCACTGCTGACACATACTGTCCTTGGCTTCTTCTTGTTCACAGAACACACCCTCTCCTTCAGGGAGGCCCCTGCTCACGTGATGTTCCTATCACAACCATGCAAATGATGCCTGGATTTGCAACTTCGTCCTGTCTCTCTTCCATCCCTTCCAGATGTTGAACTCAAATGTCCATACTCTGAGCAGACACTTCCAGCTGGGCGCATTGCTGGAAACATTTAAAGTTAGGGTATGGCCGGGTGGTGGTGGCGCACGCCTTTAGTCCCAGCACTCGGGAGGCAGAGCCAGGCGGATCTCTATGAGTTCGAGGCCAGCCTGGTCTCCAAAGCGAGTTCCAGGAAAGGCGCAAAGCTACACAGAGAAACCCTGTCTCGAAAAACAAAACAAAACAAAAAGTTAGGGTAGCCTCCCTCACCACCCCACTTCTCTCTTACTTTTATTCCTAATACTTATTTAATATGAATAAATGAATCTCATATGAATACGATTCTCATCTCAGCGAAGTGCTTTCTGATTACTTTTCAGACAGAAAATAAACATTTCCCGAGTACCTGTTAAGGAACTTGGCCTTGGTCAGAGTACACAGAGGAGAGCAAGCTACCAAGTCCTCTGTCCCACAAAGCATCCGTTCGGGAGCTGAGGGATGGGTGCTAGGAAGGCGCTCAGGATGGCGGAAACTGACCTCTCGAAACTCTGATATCCAGAATCCTCATTGTCTGGGTACAGACAGAATGACAATAACTTGCCTGAAGGAGAGTTTGCTGGGTGCAGCCGCTGTCCCAGGGGCTTAAGACAGAACAGCTTTGTCTTGGTGTCCAGTGCGGGAACAAGCCCGGGTCCTCACACTCCTTGCTTTCTCTCCTCACTAGTGGGACAAGATCTCATTTTGTAGCTCAGGTTGACCTCAAACTCATGGTGATCCTCCTGCCTCAGGCACCTTTGTCTGGCTTATTTCCCTTCTTCCTCTTCCTCTTTACAGCACAGGCTGGTCTTGAAAATGTTTCTCCACACCCAGTTTATGAGGTGTTAGGGATTTTTTGTTGTTTTTGTTGTTGTTTTGTTTTTTGACACAGGGTTTCTCTGTGTAGCTTTGGTGCCTGTCCTGGAACTCGCTCTGTAGTCCAGGCTGGCCTTGAACCCACAGAAATTCCTTTGCTTCTGCCTCTGCCTCCTGAGTGCCGGGATTAAAGGTAAGAGCCACTACCGCCTGGCTCCTGGTGTTAGGGATTTAATCCAGGGTCTTGTGCATGCTAGGTGAGCACTCTACTTACTAAGCTACCCCCCCTCCCCGCGCCCCACTCCTTTTTTTTTTTTACAAGAGAAAACTAAGGCACAGATGGTTGTAAAAAACTCACCCAGGGCTACAGAGTTCACAGTACTTTTACTTCCATTAAAACCAAGAATATAATTGTTTCTAATTCTGTGTGGCGTCAAAATAAAATATTTGACTTTAAATAGAACCATAAGTATCCATATACCTACTTTTCAGCAATATTAACCTTCTGGAGAAATACGATGAAAAATACACTAATATAGTATAAAGTAGTGTACATTTTTATTTGCTTGCTTCTGGCTTACATGTGGCTTGGCTTAGCCATCTTGACTTAAACCACTGCTAATTTTGTACATCATAGATCTGGGTGTATTAATTTTGGTTATTAAAAATATTGTGTTAGAATGTTATTTTCCTTGGATCATGAGCTTTTTGAACCCTCCTTAAATTTTGTGCCTGAGCTAAGTGCCTCGTGCTGTTCCCAGCCTTGATGGGAGTAGGGTTCCAAGCCAGCCGTCCACCTCAGTGTTGTACCCTTGATTGTTACTCTACCCGCGCTCTGCTACTGCTGGATTTTCATGTCCGGGTCTTCCTTAGCACCACTCTTTCTGATTAAACCACAGATGCCTGGGGGGGGGGGGGGGCAAACGCCATTCATCACTGGGCCTTCCGGAGTTCCCAGAAGCGCCCAGCATGGTGATTGGTTGGCACAGAGGGTGTTTCATAAGAGCCAGCATCACACGAAGCTTTGTTAGCTCGCCTCCAGCTACCTTAACCACAGTTTACAGCTCTTTCTTTCTGATGGCAAGCTCCCCTAATATTTGGGCGAGTATCCCTGATTTCATAAAAATAATTATCCAAACAACCTGTGTCATAGAAAGATGAGGGTGAACGTGGCTGATGAAGGCACTATGCAACTAAAACTCTTTCTTCAACCCAGTGTTTTCCTTTTAGTGATCATTTTAACATTTTTCAGAATAATATGGCCTTCCTAACTTTTTTTAAGATTTATTTTTATTTTACATGTGTGTGTAGTTTGCCTTCATGTATGTCTGTACACGTCATGTGTGCCTGGTGCCTGAAGAGGCTAGAAGTGTTGGATCCCCTGGAACTAGAGCTACAGACAGTTGGGAGCGGCCATGTGGATGTGTTGTGGGGTACTCACCAGAGACAACGGCTAGAACATGGGTTTGAGTCAATACAAAGTCTTTATTAGCCGCCTGGAGGCTACATGGGGTGTTCTGAACCCCAGCGTAGCCCTGAGTCTTTCTCAGGGTGAACTTTTAATCACAAAATCCATGTTCTGGGTTGACATACTTCAGTTAACAAGAACAGTTAGCCAGAAGCAGAACTACAGAAGCCAAAAAACCAAGATTAGCACATTGAGGGACTTTCCCAGAACTATGGGCTTTGATGGATTAGGCCTTTGTTTTAGTTTTGGCAGGTGATGCTCTCTACGTGCTGAGTTTTAGAGCCTGAATGCCACTTCTATCATGGAGTCAGTTGAGCTCAAGTCTGGGGGCCTGCTAAGGCCTGGGACCCCGTTATAGATTCTGGGAATCAAACCAGGTCCTCTGGAAGAGCAGCAAGTGCTCCTAACCACTGAGCAATCCCTCTAGGCCCAACCCAGAGTTTCCTAAGCGAACAGATCTGGTAGAGAGGGGTAGAAAGCTCACTGGCGTCATTACAACGCGTGGGGAACAGCAGGTAGTTCTGAAGCTCAGCTCCGCACACTGGAGCTCTGCTCACGACCTCGTCCTTCCTGCTGTGGAAGCCTCTTCACCCGTGGGTGTGCACACTCCATGCAGTAACTTCACACCCACTTCTTGTAGTAACTGCCCTACCGGCTGCTTGGATTTTGCTCTAGCGCTCCTTCCGGGAGTGAGCGGAGCCTGAGTATTTTCTCTTGACACTGAGCTACTAGAAACATGTTTTTTAAAGAGAGAGGATTAGTGGTGAGTGCAGCAATTTCTTCAGGGCACATTATATAAACCCTTTGAGAGCTCTCCTCAGGGTGGGGCTCTTGAAGACAAAAACAACGAGACACATTGCACCAGGAAAGATTCAGTACAGGTGACGTTTCCTGTCAGTTTCCTTATCATTCTTTCTCCGCATCCTTTTCTTCCTCCTCCTCTTTTCCTCTCCTCCTCCTCCTCCTCCTCCTCCTCCTCCTCCTGCTCCTCCTCTTCTTTCCATTTTTTTTTTTTTCTAGACAGGTTCTCACTGTGTAGCCCAGGCTGGCCTGAAACATTGAAGCCTTCCTGCCTCGGCATCCCAAGTGCTGGGATTAGAGGTGTGTGCCAGCGCTCCTGGCACATCAATCCACTCTTGAAGTGGATTGAATCCTCGATGTCGCTTTCGTTTGCTGGGCTGTACGTCAAGATCTTCTGACCCACGCGTTGCTTCTCTTGGATTTCGGTTGCGTGGGTGCTGCACCTAGTCATTTATTCACGGACTTTACACAAGAGACTTCTCAGAGTCTGCTTGGAAGTTGGAGTACTACAAATGCTTCTGGTTTATGCAGGGAGTAAAACACTGCTCTCGGTCAGTCCAGAAACCACAACGTTAGGTTACAAAGTACAACACGAAGCATGGTGTGATCACTGAGCACCTGCAGGCACTGGGATGTATGCTTCAGGTTTGTCTCATTTGAAGAAATGGGTGTAAAGAGAACTGGCTGGAGCTGTTCGTTTGCTCTGAAGGTGGCTTTGCTGAATGCCACCTCCCTGTTAGCTTTATGCCCCGAAAACCCTGTGCTAGTCTTGCTGAAAACACAAGCGCATACATTCTGGGGTAGAAGAAGCACTCCTGAAAGTCTGGGGGGTAGTTCAGTGGTTCAGTGTTTTTCTAGTGTGCCCAAGACCTTGGTTTGATCTGAAGTGCTCCAAATAAACAGATCTGGGTGCTGGAGAGATGGCTCAGTGGTACTTGGTGCTCTTCCAGAGGACCTGAGTTCAATTCCCAGCACCCACACAGGGTAGCTCACAATCACCTGCAATTGCAGCTCCGGGGAAGCTGGCACCTCTTCCGGCTTCCACTGGCACTTACATAAATGTGGCACGCATGTGCGTGCACACACACACGCCCATACCCCAACACACAAATAAATAAAATCTTTTAAAAAAGGAGAGAGGAAAGAAATGGAACCGGAGGTTATAATTTTCCCAGTGCAGCCAATTAGTTGCTCCAGGGGTGAAGTCATGTTCGCCATCCAGGCCACCGTAGACTGAGGCCAGATTTAAAAACAAGCGGGTTAAAAACTCCAAAGATTCAAAGAACTCTACGGGCTCTACAAACAGTCCATCGTTGGAGACATCAACATTGCGTGTCCAGCAATGTTAGATTTGAAGGGCAAGGCCAAGTGGGAAGCATGGAGCCTCCAGAAAGGGTTGTCGAAGGAAGATGCCATGAGTGCCTACATTTCTAAAGCAAGAGAGCTGATTGAGAAATATGGGATTTAGAATTTGACAGGGGAGACAGATCTCCTTTGGAAGCCTTCATACAGCATCATGACGCTTAGGGGGAAATGCATTAGTAACTCTAAAAATCATGTGTATTTTTCCTATTAGCACGAATTTTAATACTTAGGACTGTGTCAACATAGTTACCTAGTTTTACTTGCTTGTGCAAGGTGACTTTTTAAAATTCCTTTTCAAAAATTGTTTTGTAGTATGCATATAAACTTGAATAAATATCTGTTCCTTTTTAAAAAAAAAAAAAAAAAAAAAAACTCCAAAGATTAACCAAGTCCATTGAAGCGTCTGCTCTAACTAGCTGAGCAAGTTGCTGGGGTCAGAGTGAAGGGCTGAGATATTTACTCTCCAAATATGGAAAAGAATTGTGCAAAGTGAGGAGAGATGTGACAAGGGGGTGGGGGGGGTGGGGGGGGTGGGGGGGGGTGGACAGTCTAACTGCTGGTGATACAATGCCGCCTCTCTGGATTTTCAGGGGCATCAGTGATGTTTCGTAAACCAGGCGGACAGAACTTCACGGAAGTGTGTCACCCTCAGATGGGGACAAGCAATGATGTGCCTTTGGATCTGTCCACTTCTAGACCAGGGCTTCATACAGCAGCGGAGGCTTTGGAAGGTAGAGACCGGGGGATTTGTCCACATGCAGGCCAGTGCTGGGCACTGCAGAAGGGTGTCGTCAGGCTGAACGATGAGAGTTTAAACAGGCCGTCTAGTCTTGGATTTAGACATCAGAAGGTTCAGTGCTTGCCTGAAATCTCACACTTGGGAGGGAGAAGCAGGAGGATCAGAGTTCAAAGTCATCGGAGACAGAGAGACTTGGAAGCTAGCCTGGGCTACTAGAGATCCCTTCTCAATATCCCCACCCTCCCCCACACACCCAAAAAAAGGAAAAGGGAAAAGGGGCAAAAGAGTGACAGCGAGGGGGACCTGGAAAGCTATAATTTAAAAACATAAATTGAGAGTCGAGTCCGCCATGGGGCTGGTGGCTGCAGACAAAGACAGAAGGAGACATGGTGTCGCTTCGGGGAGTCGTGTCTTACGTGCGAATTGCTGCAGATTTCCCAAGATTGGCTGCTGATGGCCTCCAACGGCAAATGCCCTTTCAGGACCATGTGCCCAAACAAAAGGGGAAGGTCTGCACTGACAGGGTTCAAAGGACCCTCGTGTCATCCATCCTTCCTGATGTTTCCCTATACTTTCTCCCGCTGAGCCTGGCAGGAGAGGGTGGCTCTCTAAACGGTGACGGAGAGGTACTCTTAGATGAGTTTCGTTGTACAACTTAGCTCGGGTCGCGTCAGCGCAGAACAAGTGGATGTGTGGCTGTGCTTCGTGGCAATGATTATGACTTCATGCAAATTTATTTGAGACTTTGTATGAAAGGGTAGAGATCTTTGTTGCACCTTTGGAGGCCCAGAAGGTTTTCCACTTGGCCTTCAGTCTTGTGATGTAACAGCAGCTTAGGATGGATATCGGAGCGTTCTTCTGTTTATATGTAGTTGTTTCAAATTTGGGGATCTTATTGTCCAGTCATAAACTTTCTTGATGATGTTACCATCTTGTTTGGGCCTTTCGTATCTGAGCCTATTATGATGAGGTGGGACGCTGTTACTGTTTTTTTTCTCCACTGCAGGTGGATAAGGAGGTGGGAGGGGAAATTGCTAATAGGAACCGTATGAGTGCTTGTCTCTGATCGACACCCATTCAATCTTCAGCTCTCTAGAAATGTACATCTTCTTAATACAAAACAAAGGTGAGAAGTCTTCCAGGGTTACAGGGTTACACATAGAGAGTCTGGTCCAACCTATGCAATCCTTCCTTCCCAGGGACACCAGCTTGCTGTAGGGCTGAAAACTTCCTGTCTTCCATCTTGAAGCAGGGTTGAACTTTTTTTTTTAAATCAAATTAACAGCCGGGGAGTGTTTTACCTGCCTGACTGGTTCATACTATTCTATTCAGGCTTCAGTCAGAAGTTTCTTCACCCTGCTGGGCGTGGAAGGCTGTGACTCACAGGGAGAGATGATGTCTCCTGGTGTCACAGGATGACTGAGGACTTCTCAATTTGACCTCGGCCATTCTGTTTTTCCTTGCTCTGTCTTGGATATTGACATGGCTGCTTGCTCCTGAGGGGAACCAGTCGGATGAGTATTCAAATATTAAATTAATTCCTCTCTAAGTGGCCCAGCAAGTTTTTACTAGAAACTTCCACAGGAGCCTGAGGAAAGCGAGGGAGGGGAGGAGAGAGGCAGAGCTGAGAGGACAAAGGAGACCGAAAACTCTTCTGTCTGTTTGGTGATGTTTCCTTTGTCCACAATCGTGCTGCGCAAACAGAAGAAGAAAATGTCTAAATGAAAATATCCGCACATTAAGCTGTTTGTGCCACTGAGCCTTGTCTTCCCTGACTCTGTGACCTGCCTGGACTATAATGGCTCAGGGGGGCCATCTGCCACAGTCTTTTACTTTTGTTTTTTGTTTTTCGAGACAGGGTTTCTCTGTCTAGCTTTGTGCCTTTCCTGAAACTCACTCTGCAGGCCTCGAACTCACAAAGACCTGCCCGCCCACAGTCAATTACATGTTCACCCCTTACCTCCTGTCCCCACTGTTGGTTTTAATGCGACAGTGCGCAATGTTATTCATTAAGCGGTGCTGTTACTGTGAGAGAAAGGCCACAGGGCACCACCAAACCCACCATCAGAGCTTTGTTAGGAGAAGAGAGGGACAGAAGAGAGTGTGACCAGGCCTGTGGAAGACACGTGCATGCGGAGAGAGAAGGCGGAGAGGAGAAGGAGAAGAGAGGGAGGGGGTCCGCTTCTTATGAATTCCCCTGCACATGCGCGTGTGGGCTTACAGAGTCATAAGATTGCGTGATCACGCTGCTCACAAACTAAGCGATCACGCAGCGCATGGATTACGTAGAACGTAAGGCCCCTTGCTTGGCTACTGAACTGCGCATGTGCCGTCATACAGCTGGGGGAGTGGCCAGGAATGCCAACACTCACCCTCTTACAGAGCAAGGACTTGCCCAGAACCCTGCTGACTGCAGACTGGGCATCAAATTTGAGGTAGGGGTGGGTGGAGATGGGGATGGGGAGTTGGGTGGGTGTCTTAGGGAATAGTGAGGGTAGAAGTCACACACTGGTGCATTCCTGCTCTTCCTTTGCACGCTCAATCGCTGAGTTCTGTTACCCTCCCCTAGGCTGGTCAGGGACTCACACTGGTTTCCCGGCATTCCTCAGGCCTCAGCCACCCACATGCTAGGATTACAAAGTGCTAGGATTAAAGGTGTGAGTCACCACACCTGACTCTCCCACAGACATTTCTAGAGCTGGTAGCTTGTTATATTTCTTACTCAAAGCGTCCTTCCTTCCTCCCTTCTCACTCCCCACTTCTTTCTGTTAATGTTACTCGTCTGTCCAGGGTTATCCCTGAGGGCGTTTGAGTTAGGCGTTTTGTGGACTTGGCTCTGAGCCTAACTTGACCTACAGGACCAGCAGGGGAAATATCTTAAAAATGATGTCACTGGTGCATCCAACCAACATTTTAAGAAGAGTTAACACCAATGCATCTTCGGTTTTTCAAAAAAAAAAAAAAAATTGAAGAATGCGTACTTCCAAATTCATTCTGTGAGCCTTGCCTTAGCCCGAATCTGAACCCTGAAAAAGATATCACAAGAAAATCGAGCTACCAGCCAATCTCTGTTGGGAAAGTCCTCAGCACAATTCTAATGAATAAAATCCAGCAACGTATTGAAAGGGTTAATGACCAAGACCAAGTAGGGTTTATCCCCAGAAGGCAGCGTTGGTTCTACAATTCAGTCAATGTAAATAAATTCACATTAATAAAATGGAAGACATGATCAGGTGACCGTCTTAACTGATTCAGAAAACACATCTGACCTAATTCGATATCCTTTCATGTTGTCAAACATCCAGTAAACTAGCAACAGAAGGGAACGTCTTCAGTGTGATGAAGGACCACATGAAAAACCTGAGCAACATTACCCAGCGGTGAGAGGCTGAGAGCGTTTCTCCTTCAATCAAGACTAAGAGATACACTCTCCTAGTGAACACTGCATATAGTTTCACACTGTAATGATTCAACATAATGTCTGAAGCACCTCAAGCAGGTAATTAAAGGACACGAAAGACATAGGAAATTTGGAAATAAGAAATAAAATGATCTGTTTGCGGGTGATGTGTTCTCACTTGTAGAAAAATTTAAAGATTCCACTTATAAAAAAAAATAAAACAAAGCAGGGGGCTAGGGATGTCACTCAGGGCACTTGCTAGCATGCGTGAAGCTCTGGGTTCATCCTCAATATCACAGGTACTGAGAACTGGTGTTGGTGAACATCTGTAATTCCAGCACATGGGAGACGGAGGCAGGAGGATCAGGCGTTCAAAGTCATTCTTGATTGCATAGTAAGTTCGAGGCCAGTTTGGGCTACTTGAGACTGTTTCAAGCACACACACACACACACACACACACACACACACACACAGACACGGCACACTGCCACAAATACCAGCACCAGCACCAGCAACAAAAACCCAGCTAAACTGAAGCATGAATTCAACGTACTCGCAAGAAAATTAAGAATTCCACGTACAATAGTATCACAAAGTGGAATATGAGTCATTCTAACCAACGTGGCCTTATAGTTCTACACCAGAAATGGCAGCGCATTGCAGGAGGAGTTAAAGATGATAGGAGCACAGAGAAAGACACTCTCTGTGTGAGGACTGGAAAATGGAACCCCAAATCACATACACATTTTATACAATTCCCTATTGAAGTCTCAGTGGCCTTTTCTTTTGCACAGAGATAGAAAAAAAAAAAAAACTATTTTAAAATTCCTATAGAATCTCAAAAAATCCCAAAAGGCCAAAATAATCTTGAAAAGCAACAAAGTAAAAAAAAAAAAAAAAAACTTACTATGTAGCCCTGAAAACAGCATCACAAACCAAGCCAGAAAGCAAGTCCTGTTGTGGACAGAATGAAATGTGTGCGGGTTGTTGGTGGGAATGCAAAATGGTGCTGCGATTTTAGAAGTCAGTCACGGTCTTCTATGTAGAAAACAGTTCGGCAGTGTCCTCAAAAGGCAGAATGAAACACTATATAATCCAACTATATTCCGTGTACTCCTGAGTATATGAAAAAAACTTGAAAGCAGGAACTCAAATGATACCGTGCAACAGCGCTCACAGCAGCGT